AACAAGCCGCGGAACCATTATTCTCACAAGATCACAATAACCCAAACGCGTGGCAGATATATCTTTGTTTTCCTTTCCAATCACATATCAATTAAGTGTTCTAGTTCGGCCGGCCGATATTGTGGTAAGGCCTAGTAATTGATTTAATTTTTTACGGTTCACACTTGCAACATGCGTGTTTATTTCCTGTTTAGATCTGACAAAACGAATCATGTTTTAGGAACAAACAAACTGTTTGTTGTTTTTGTAGCGATCTTCACCACAAGCCCTTTGTCTAGAGGCCTACATTTTCTTTACCTAGTCATACCTACACCCTTCTTTTTGACTGAAACCATAATTCAGAAGTAAGAGTCGACTGTTTTTGCTACAAGTACACCAAAACTCAGGCTGCGCTATGTAGCTACACGTCTGCCATCATCAAGACGCAACTTTGTCTTTCTAGGAATTTAATTTATATTTATATTCATAGTCAAATCCCTTTTGGGCAGATCTTTGTATATCAAAATACTGAGGTACACTCCCTACATTAGTTTATTGCAAAGAAACATATTCAAAAATAATCCCACATCTTCAAAACATGCACTCAGTGTCTCGCAATCGGAGTTCTGTCTAAAGTCTCCCAACTCAGTCAAAACAAACTGTTCTAATGAAGAAAGTCATCAGATGGGACGTAAATAATTATTATATAAATATTTAAAAAATGGATACCACGTGACGTTGCGCCTTAATGCATGAAACGGCAAGAGTCTGAGCAGACGGAAAATTCAAATGATACAGCCACCCAGGCGCTCAAAGCAGTAGCCTGGCAATCCCTTCCATATGCTCTAAAATATGCAACTGGGCTTGTCGAAAGCAAAGTAAGGAACTATCAGATATTAGTGGGACACTACACCGCAGCAACCTAACGTTCACAGCCTGTACACCGTAAGGACAGGGTTGGCTACCTTAGCGGTGTCTAAAAATCCCACGTATAAAGTGTGTTAGAGTTCACAGTGTCCAAAACTGGAAACCAGTTTCCACCTGCATACACGAACATGAGATAGCGATCAAAAGACAAGACTACTTTTTCTGAGGATATCATACGCATCCTGGAAACCAGGCATAACGTGTATTTGGGAATAACTGGTGTGATGGCACTTGCCCATTCAACAAAGTCCAAACTTTTCTGGAGGCAATGCTATCAAGTAAAAGATGTATGCCACATACAATTTCCTCAGGAGCGAACTTAAA